CCTGATAATACGCACACGTATATACGCGGGCACACGTACGTACGCACGCACGCGTACATACATACATACGTACGGACGCACGCGTACATACATACATACGTACGGACGCACACATACATACATACGCACACGTATATACGAACGCACACGTATATATGTTCGCACATGCACATACGCACGCGCACGTACGTACGAACGCACGCTCGCACGCATACATACATACGTACGGACGCACACATACATACACACAGGGACATGCCCTATTATTCTGTCCCGAATAAGCAAGCACGCATAATTACAACATACACCAACATATTTACTCCCTACTCCTCATGCACCTACCCCTTACTTACCACCTGCAGATATCGAACCACCGAGATTCATAACGTGCGTGCAGTTTACGACAACAGATGGCGCCACCGCTGCGTCGACGTCTGTCACAGCGTGACAGACGCAGGCGAGCAGTAGCAGCAGCGGCAGGACGACGCGTGTCATGGCGGCAGCACGATAGCAGGAGCCTGCGAAGATCGGCTTCTGATTCTTCATCAGTTTCCGTCTCTTTCTTGTTTTTCTTCTTCGTTCTTTCCCGCTACAACTCCTACCTCTTCTTCGTTTTCTTCTACTTCTTCTGCCTCTTCCTTATTTCAATGAAGCGACCACCACCACCGATGACGATTCGTTCCAGTCTTTGATCGGAGTTGCTAGTCTTCTCTGAACGACAGCGTTCACACACACACAAACACACACTCGCACACCTCACGCCAACTCTACAGAGCAGCTCGGCTCTGCCAGGGTTATGTATGCCTCGAGAGCCGATGTGACACGCCTACAAGGAATTTACCTATGGTGTACGGTTTGTCAATTTAGTCCAACCATATGTCGGTTCCCAAACACACACCATATTTCCGCCAACCATACACATTGTAACGCCACCAACATGTTATTTATAAAAACCTTATCTTCCTTTACAAAAACACGTGTACATATTTCCTACCAACAGGTGCGACAATTCCCCCACACTAGTTTGCTAAACCATACTAGTAGTTGGTCAGCGAACGATACAAGTAGTTTGCACTTTGTAGAAACATGGTTTTCCGCGCGCAGAATTCTAAAATTCTAGATACATAATAATAATTATAAACACATTTCTTAGCTGTGGTCTCTGTGAATTTTAAGTTTATTGAAGCACGATTAGTTTAATTAATTAAAAAGTGTACTATATATATATAACTATACCATATGGCGCGAACGAATTGAGTTACATTTCTAAAATTCTAGATACATACATGATACAGACACATGTTAGTTTCATAACGTTGAAATTGACATTTTCGGGAAAAATCTCACGAACGTGCGGAAATTTTAGCCTATGAGCGATACCGCGCGTATATATTTGGTAATTAATTAAACTATTCGTGCTTCAATAAACTCACGGGGATTATAGCTACGACATGTGTTGATATGTATCTAGAATTTTAGAAATGTAACTCAATTCGTTCGCGCCATATGGTAGTTATATATAGTACTAGCGGGATACCCGGCGTTGCCCGGGGAAATCAGTGGCATTACTCAGTTGGTGACCGCTTGGTTGAAAGGAAAATACCCAAAAAATCTAACTATCTATCTATCCATGCATGCATGCATCCATCCCATCCCATCCCATTCCATTCCATCACATCCCATCCCATCCCATATCCAATCCCATATCCCATCCCATCCCATCGCATCGCATCTCATGCCATCCCATGCCATGCCATGCCATCGCACTGCATCCCATCGCACCGCATCCCATGCCATGCCATCCCATGCCATGCCATGCCATGCCATCCCATCCCATGCCATCCCATGCCATTCCATGCCATCCCATCCCATCCCAAACAGTAAAAAATAATAAGAAATCAAAAGCACAGTTTAATCAGACATTAAATATAATAAATAAAAAGTAAAAATTACAAAATTAAAAATAATACATACTAAAGAGGTAGGTAAAGAGAAAAAGGGGAAAATAAGTTCCCCAGCTAGGACTCGAACCCGGAATCCCGGTGTAGGGATGTTTTAGCGATTAAACCACTGCGCCGTTTAGGGTATACCCATGGATTCACACGTACGTGATGTTAGTCTGTATGCACCGCCATCTATTGATGAATAGAATTGTTATGCATTTTTAACTTCTTACCTTTTTTTAATTTTCACGCAGCGGAAACGTGTTTCTATACACGTAGGCTTATAAATTTCGCATTTCTTTTTGCGAAATATCTCTTAGCAGCTGATTTTTTAGTCGTAAATGCAGAAGATGTTTGATAAGAATAGTCAGCAGCTGGGGCCTACGTGACCGAGCCGGGGTCGCAGGATCGCAGGTAGACATGAGTTCATCAGGTGATTCAACGTCAAATGACAGGTGCGATAATGCTATCATGAGCGATGGCTGGATTTTATAGTGCACACGAACAGCTGAACTCATAAGAAATTAGGCGAGTAGAAAAAACCCACGTACTGACTCCGTGATAAACAGCCTTTATATAGTATGAGAA